ACCACAGATGTCACCTGGATTTCCATGGTGAGATCCGGGTCCAGGCAGATGCCCAAACTGTGAACCTCATTCTTCATTGGAAAAATCACTTACCCAAAGGGGAGGGAGTTTCCCAACCCACTGACGCCAGGGCCGGCCACACGCAAGATTTCCATCTTGTCTGGATTCAACCTCAGTGCATTTGCCCTCATCCACCCCAGGACGGTCCCCAAGCAGTGTTCAAGGGTCAAAACAGCATCCATTGCAGTTGGAAAAAACGAGAGGTAGATCTGGGCATCATCAGTGTGCTGATGGCACCAGGCCCCACAACTCCAGATGACCTCACTCTGTGGCATCATATAGATATTAAATAGCATTGGCGAGATGATCGACCCCTGCAGAACCCTCAATTGAGGATCCATGGGGTGGAAGTCATCTTGCGAAGCTGCACTCTCTGGGGACGGTCCTCCAAGAAGGAACGGAGCCATGCCAAAGTGAGGTCACCGATCCCCAACTCGGAGAGCTGTCCCAGGAGAATACCATGGTCGACGGTATCAAAGGCCACTGAGATATCGAGAAGGACCAACAAGGACATACTGCCCTGGTCAGCTTCCCTCAGAAGGTCATCCTTCATGGCAACCAATGCTGTTTCCATACCATGCCATGGCCTGAAGCCTGACTGGAATGGATCAAGGGCAGCAGTTTCCTCCAGGAGTGCCTGGAGCTCATCAGCCACCACCTTCTTGACCACTTTACTCAAGAAAGAAAAATTGGCGACAGGCCTATAATTCCCAATTTCGTCCATCTCCAAATTAGGTTTTTTTCGAATGGGCCTAATGAGTGTCTCCTTGAGGGCAAGGGGAACCATGCCCTCTTGGAGAGACCCATTAATTATTGCAGTGGCCCATTCTGTTGTTACCGGTTTGGTTGCTTGATAAGCCAAGCTGGACAAGGGTCTAAAGAGGAGGTGGGGACACAACAGTGAGCAAGCACCCTGTCCACCTCACTGGATGTTAAGCAGCAAGATTGATGAAAACTCTAGCTGGGAGTGTGTCAGAAGAGAGATCCT